TCCCTCCATACACGTGTATGGAGGGGAATAAAATGACATACAACTGTCTTAAAATATCTGCAAAAGCAGATGAACAGTAGTCGGCTGCTCAAAATTGCCATTTTGACAAAATTGACTACCGACCGACAACAAATAGTGCCGACCGGCAATATACATTGCCGATGGCAACAAAATACCAGCCGGTGGCCTTTAGCCATGGCCGGTGATGTGTGGGGATGCCTTACAAGGAATTCCCTACCCTTCTAAGGAAAAACACAAGTGTTTGGTGCAAAACCAGACACCAAACAGTCGAGTCGAGAGATCGTGAGGCAAGGCGCGCGAGCCGAGACCTCCGGGAACTCAAGACGAACACAAACATGGATGATCACCGAGTGTTCAAACGGTGACGTCCAAGTCTTGAGGACGATCAAAAATGGGGTGTCTACAATGGATGATGGTATTTCATTGTTCATTAACAGCATATCACCCAACAACGTCAGTAGATCTGAAAACCCAGTGTGAGATAGGCTATTCGTAGTTTTGAAGCTATATAGTTTAACCAATGCAAATAACTTGGTAAACTTTGTACATCCCGGATACAATGGTTTTTTTGCATCTTCAAGTAATTTCTCAAACACTTCAGGATCAGTCGTGCAATGATCATATGCATCTTGAACCATTTCTATTGTTTCAGCTACATTATCTATGGGAGACGTGTCAAATTGTTATTGGGAAAAATCTTGTTCATTTTCGCATGGTGACGCCCCACTAGTGATTGCTTCTCCATGCCATATCCATGTGGTATAACTTTGGTCAATACCATTGAAAAAAAGATGATTTCTAATCTCTCGAATAGGTTGGCTTCTCAAGTTTCCACAGACTCTACAAGGACAACATATGGATTGAAGATCACTTGCATGGATCATAGCAAAATTAAGAAATTGTTCAACTCCATTCTCATAGTCTTTTGATCTTTTATCCTTGAATATCCAAGATTTGTCCATTTTAAATGTATTTTTGAATACCTATATCAACAAAGAAATTAGAATATAAAACAATAAACTAGAGGCTACACAGTTGATAACCTCAAAGGAATGTCATTGAGAAAGCACAATTTCCTTGATAGAACATTAAATGTCTTAGGCAAACTTGCCAAAAAAAAAAAAAAAAAAAAAAAAAAAAGAAGAAAAAAAAAAAATATATATATTTACAAGATCTTATAACAAATAATTTATATGATCTATGAATAATTACAACGTCAAAAAAAGAAAAAAAATAATAATTCCATAAAGTCTAAACAATCTAGGCATTTATTATTCAATACTATCATTTATATTGAATGTTTCATATCCAAGAAGAGATGTGCAGGCTTTGCACACACCTAGGAAATGCCCCAGGGCTCAAAGTGGGCTGCCTAACTCAATTAGGTGGTTTGCCTCCAAAACAACAACAACTTGCAGCAGTAACTAAAACCACTCTGCAGCAGCAGTAGTAAAATAGCTCTGCTGCAATAGTAAAGATACAGCGACGGCCGCAGCTTCGACGTTTGGTACTAAACGTCGCAAAAGGAATTAGCAGCGTTTTTGAAAGATATAGCGGCGTTTCTTAAACGCCACTAAAAATCTGTTTTCCAGCAGTGAAACCAAAATAAATCCTTATTTGAAGTGCATTACTATCCATTTGTGTTTGAATTTAGTGTAATTTATCCTTATCTAAAGCTGAAATGTATTAGTAGATAGGAACATCTACATGGTATTTGGACTTTGTTTATAACTTTCTCCATAATGGTGAATGTACTTTAAGGGGACTATAATTTAAATGAATTTTTAGGAGTTACTTATATAATTTTGTGGTGTATTTAGAGGCTTGTACATGAATTATTAAAGTAACATATGTGAGACATGGTCTACGCTGCAACTGATATTGCTCTGTTCTGAGCTTGTGGCCTAGGTTGCAGCCACTGTGGCTTGGGCTATCCTACACCCTCTCTTTCATCACCCATTATGTGCGAAGGTCAGAATTTCAGAAAATGGTAATTTGGATTTCATTTATTATTTATTTTTTTAATCCTTGCAGGCATTACGTGTTAAGGTGATGAATAGAATTGAAAAGAAAGCAGCCTACTTGGAAGAATTGGAAGAACAAGTAATGTCATTTGTCATTTCTTCTCTACATCATAGTGAACATTATTCTAACCAAATTTTGTCAATATGCTTGCTGCATATAAAATTGTATTTATTGCAGCTATTCAAATAAACTTTGCTTTGTTAGAACTTAGAAGTGCAATTGATTCATGAAATATTTTTAGGACCAAAGGCGAAGAATTAATCATACAAAGGATCATGATTCAGTCACTTTTACCTGAAAGTGCATATGTTAATCATATCTCTAACTTGGCAAAACTCATCTTAGGGGCAGGTTATTGTCTTAAAAAGAATAATGGTCATCATATAACTTTTGCAAAGCCAGGAGGACATATATAAATTTTCTTCTTAGAATGCTTTTTTTAGAATATTTTAGAGTTGGTCAACAAAAAAACTGGCTCTTTGCAGGAGTTCATTTATTAGAAATGCATTCATATATAGATCTGATTCTGGTTCAGTTTTTTTTTTTTTTTCTTCTTCTTCTAAAACTTTGATCTATTTAATTTCCAAATAAAGATTTGGAGATCAGGATATGTATGAAAATTCTTCATTCACTAAACAGGCTAGCTACATATGCATTGCACAAATATCTCTGACTTATTTTTCATTTGAACGATGACAAGATAAAAATACAAATACCATACCATACCATACCCCTAGCCATTCTAATTGCCTGACGCATCTTTCTTGAGTAATAATTGAGATTCATGTGAATGTTAAGGAGAAGAATCAGTGCATTTTTTTGACAAAAAAACAAGGGTTCGGTTTTGTAGGATTTTTGTTTTAGTTAACATGGCATATCTTTAGTGTTAGTTGTTGATCTATATTTCTTTCTCTTGTTTATATAAATATTATATGCTAATTTGTTTGTTTGTTTGTTCTTTCCAAAAAAGATTGCAGGTCTCCAAAATCTGATGTTGCGTAATCAACAACTGCTAAAGTCTAGAAATGCTCCATTTGGAGGGTTCTCTTTGCCATTTATAGTAGTTCGGATACATGTTGCTTTCATATTTTTAGCACATATATATAATATGTATACTTTTGTAGTTTTTCATTGCTTTTTCTAATCTAAATAATAGCAGTTTGGTTATTGCAATTGTCTTATTCAGTTTCTAAGAGCACATGATGATTTATTGAACAATTAGAAGTATACTTATGTTATTTATTTGCTCTGTCATTAAGCTTGTAATATCATTTAAGTAATTCAGGCTCTTATCTAAGTAACTTTTTTCTGGCATAGGAGTAAATTTGTTAGAGGGAATCACATCCCAATGAAACAGATTTAAAAAAAAAAAAATTGCACAGACATGGTGCAACTTAGAGTTGCACCCACATAACTTTTGAGTTGCACCCAACCCACCACACAAAACCCTCCATGTTCTACAAATGTTTTTTTGGTCTCCTGCATTGTTATGGTTGCACCCCACCAACCACACAAGGAGTTGTACTCTCCATGTTTTACAAAAAATTTTTTGGTCTTCTACCTTGCTTTCTTATTCCCCCAATATATTATAGAACTTCACCAAAGGCTTAGGGATCAACCAGAGCACTCTATTCACCTTTTTTATCTTCATCTTCCAAGTAGCAAATCCTATTTTTAAAATTCTTTTAGCACTATTAATCTTAAGTAACATTGTAACAATCTGCATTCACCTAGTCTCACAGCAATCAACATTCCTCCTTCTCTTGAGACTTATAGGGGTTATGGGATTCATCACTCTATACTATCACTTCCTGTAATTTATTCATAATGGAATTGGTCTTGCTGTCTTTTCTTTTCAAGTCGTTGCTTTGTTACGCCTATTTTTTTTACTTTGTTGAACTCAACTAGATGGAACTCTTTCCATTTCTATGATTGGTTGAAGAACTTTGACAATTTGATTAATGGTTACTTGAACTCACTGGGCTTATTTTCAGAGTTTGAAATTATATTTGGATTGCAGAATTACTGTCAAGTAGACAGAACACTAGTTGTAGTGGTGGAATTGTGAGGCCTTAGGGGATTTTAAAACAACCATTAATGGCTTAATTTCTTAGAGATTACTAATTTGAAAGTAAGTTGCGTTCTTGATATTGTGATTAATTTTGTTCAATGGAAGAAAATGAATCAGGTTACGTGCTGGCCAATCATGGACATTCTCTTGAAGAAGATAGGGTTTGCTTTGGACTTCTACGATGATAAAGTTGAGGATTCAAGCATTCTATATCTTTTGTTGAAGTTAGGTGTATAGTTGTATTATATGTGCACACATTTACTTGGGATCTATGTTACATGGACTTCTCTAAAAGGCCTCATATTTGTTTAGAATCATTTGGTTTCAAAAGCCTCAGTCATCTTGAAGCATGTGATACATGCAATACGTCTAACATGATGCCTAACTTACAATTCAAATAAAACATAGATTATGTTGGCACCAATAAAGGATTAATTTTACAGAATAACACCTCTATTTATATCTTCAAGTACACCCATTCATAAGTCCATGGTAAGTTATGCCCAAAATAAACAAAAAAATGTAGGCCAATACCCAAACTTGAATCTAAGGCTAAGTTTGGCATATTCAAAAAAAGTCAAAAAGTTAAAAACTCACTATCCTATTTAAGTCACATCACTTCAAACACAACCCATATTTCATTAAAAGTCAAAAAGTGCACTTATTTAGAACATTTAAAAAAATAAATTAATCAACAAGATGTATAGATAACTAACTACTAACTACAGCTTGCCCAGTTGGCCAAAACACTAGCACCAAAGTAGGAGGTCAAGGGTTTAATTCTAGGCAAGATTTCCTCTTCCCCCAGGCTATGGCCTCCGATGTACCCAAAAGAAAAGAAGAAAAAAAGAATAATGAATAAATATTTTTTTGATAGACATACCTTCGCAGATCCTTTATCTTTCCCTGATTCCGGTACTGCCTCACCCTGTTTATGGCAGACAGATAGTCACTATTAAGCTAAAACATGTTTGACATTAAAAGCACATTATCTTAAACGTGCATTTGCTTTTATCAAAATAATAAGAAAGAGCATCCATTTATTCAATTACATGACTAAAGTAAAAAATTCCAAACCTATAGATGCCATATCAGAATATGAGCAAATATATCACAAAAGGGGCATAAAAAACAGAGAACTCACCAAAAATTTCAAGAGGTTTTTGATTTCAAAAGAAAAATTTGAGTAAGTAACTTCAATGGTGGTTTGGAGCTGTGATGAAGAAAATGAATTAGGGCTCCGTTTCAGAAATTGAAGGCAAGGAGAAGAGACCTATGCTGTTTGTGAAAATCAATCTTGTTGGGAATGGAAAGAGTCGTGCTCTCTCAATCGTGGGTAGAATAGGCGCGAATGGGAATAGTATTTTATATAAAAATCAAATTGAAATATTTTATACCATAACACTTATTTAGGGAGTGTGATAAAATATATATATATAATCACACTTATTTAAAAAGTGTGATCAAAAATAAATATTATCTTTAAGTATTATTAGTAGCGTATATATAATCACACTTTAATTAGAAGGTGTGATTAATATATATATATATATATAAAATCACACTTAATTAAAAAGTGACATAAAGAATACATATTATCGCACTTAATCAAATCAAGAGTGATTAAAATATCAATCTAATTTTTTTTATCACACTTTCAATAAAAGTGAGATATTTTCATTTGTCAAAGTGTGATCTTTAACTATTTTTGTAGTAGTGACATTTGGTAGAAATTTCAGTAAAATTTTTAGCATCTCTAACATTAGTGTTTAATCTCATTTGGATAATCATCTTTCAAAACTCCTTTTAAATTTTTTTCTCTCTCCTCTCTCTTTCTCTCTCTTTTTTTTTTATTTTTATTTTTATTTTATATTTTATATTATATATTTCAAAACCGTTTTCAGACAAAATGTTTTCTTAAAACATGTTGGTGTGAATCCTTGTATTTTGTGTTGCTGAATGTACAAAATAAGTAAGCTTAGACATGTGCAGAACTTAGAATGAGCAGAAATTGTTGTTGTTGCTGTTTTTTTTTTTTTTGTTCCTAGCAGTCAAAGCCACATTTTTCTCAGTTTACGTATAGATATAGTTTTGCATATATATGGAGTCAGTAGCATGTTATCTTCTCTATTTATTGTGCCAGATTCAGGCCACCAACGATATCCAGTGGGTCAGGATCATATCATCATCTTCTATCCGATTCAAAAATAAATGTGTGTGTGTGTGTTTTTTTTCTTTTTTAATAATCCAATCGAAAAATGAATGTAGTGACATGCTTGTGTGATCCAACAGTTTCAGAACCTGTGAACTACAAACATTTGTGTGTCCAAACGAGCAGATTATTTTCTTTTCAAAATTTAGTAACTTTCAAAATATGTTAAAACTCAATTTATTTAGTTTTCGATCATATTTTAAACAATGGAGATTTAGTCGAGCAAGGAAGCTTGTTGAACTTGAGGAGTTTAATTTTTTTATGTAGTCTTTGATCGCATATAAGTTTGAAAATTATTTACAAACAAAAAATTTGTACAAGAAACACATTTACGTTGTGTTTGGTTTTGGGATTTAAGAAAAGTTTTGGAAACGAAAGGAAAAAAAGTAAGTAAAATGTGAATAAAATATATTTATATTTCACATAGTTTCACATGCATTTTCTCTTTACTTTTCTAAATCTCTTCCCAAATCTTCCAACCAAATATAATGTCAGAATGATGTGTTAATGATATTTTTAAAATTATGAAAATAATGATGGATACTTTAATTGAAAATGAAAAGGCCATAAAAAGTTATATGATTCTGTATATGTATTATTACTCTATAAGTTTATTAAGCCAAATTCAAAAAATTAACAAATTTTAAAATGTATTTAAATTTAATTTATTTACATAGCAACTATTTTCGAACAAACTAAACCTAAATCACTCTTAAATAGCTTGATTCATTTTATAATGATTCATGTTAGGTGGTCATAGGGTTTACGTGGATGTTTGGACACTAGAAATAGGAAAATATTTATGCATTCTATTTTGATTGATAATTTGCTAGATTTTTCGTACCAAAATTGTCCTGATTTCATAATGGTTACATAGACTAGTACAACACCCCTCCCCCCAACCAAAAATGACAAACTAAAACTTGAAGTTGATCTTTAAGTTCCAACAACATGAATATTAAAAAAGTTACAAATATATTGAAATGTATTGATTTACTTAGTCAAGGAGACAAAAATTAAGATCATGAGGCCGAAAATCTTGAATTTGGGAGCAAGTAGGGCTACCAAGTTACTAGCGGCATGCAATTTAGAAAATCAAAACATAGAAAACGAACAATTTAAATATTCTGAAAATGATGGGTATAATATAAATTTATATTTGATATCTAATAATGATTTGGTTTACACATTTTATTAAAAAAATATTTTTGTTTTGGTATACAAAAAAATTCAGTCAGCTGCGTTTGCTAAAAAATTTACAAGAAAATGATGGCTTTGAGAGAGGACAAGTTTAATGGAGAAATGATCTATAAATAAAATATTTATACATAATATAAGTTACATTGATAAATTTGTATTTTTAAATGATAAGTTTCAAGGTCGCCACGTTATTTTGGTTAAAACAACTTTCTTTTAAAAAAAAAAAATTAAAAAAATTGTTTGTTAAAAATTTAGCACTACTTATTCTTAATATATGGTTTTATATTAGTTTTAGCATATGATCTTTTAGTATATACTAATTATGGGATATATTTTTTAAGTATCAAAACGTGGCTAAGGTGACGTCGACGTGTCAGCTGAGGTGCCATGTGTTCTGGACATGACGCCGAGGTTATCTCGGCGAGGCCGAGGTTACCTTCGAAGATATCGGAATCCGAGATAAGCGAATAAGGCACAAGAACCCTAGAAGAGGGGAAGACTACAATTGGGAAAGGATAAGACTCTTAAGGAGTTTATCCTAATTCTACTAGGAGTCCAAGATTGATAATAATCCTAAGTCCATTAGAGCTAGGCTCCTGTTGGGACAAGGATTGAGTTAGCTATAAAAGAGAGGCACCTCCGTAGGTTTAAGGTACGCAATTTATATTCTGAATAGTGAGTTTGCACTATTGATTATCTGTGAGAGATATACTGACTTGATCATCGGAGTGCCCCCGGGTGGACGAACCACCGCCGGAATCTTCTCTTTCTGTTTCAGGTTAGCCAGGTGTCATTTATTCTGCCAGTGTTCTCCAGCTGAATACTGAGTTGGGCCGTGTGATCGGAAAATCACTCACACAATTTGGCGCCGTCTGTGGGAAAGAAAGTAGAATAGATGGTCAGTAACGGGCAGAAGGAAAAGATTGGGGACGACACTCCTGTTGAGAGTGGGAGACCTATTGACCTTGATATCACCGGAGACGAATGAAACGCAGAAACTCGTGACCAGAATCACAGAGTGACAGACGTCGGCCAGACTGGCGACGCACCAAAGAAACCAGATCGAAGTGGATACTACAACGAGGACGACCTCCAGGTTTGGAAAGATAGGTGCCTACAGAGGGACGAAGAGGTAAAAGAGATGGCAAACAAACTGGCAGACCTACAGTCGGTCGTCAATTTCATGATGCAAAATAAGGTTATGCAGCCACCGTTCCCGTTGCACGACACGTCGATTCCAGCGGCCAATACCCAGAAGGGAGGGCAGAAAACAATCCTCGTAGCCCCTCAACACAACGGGAGTGAGAGATACTCTCACTGACCTTCTAGGGAGGTCGGACGAAGATAATCAAGAAGAGAAGAATCACGGAGGACGCATCGCACAAAGGAGGCAGACCCCAAAGGACATCGGCATGTTCAGGGGCAAGCGCTGTGCTTCGACACAACTCATGGAGAAGGGTCGAAAAGGGCTCACCACGAGGCCGAGAGTAGTATACCGAAAAGACTGAAGTCAAAAGATAGCCGAGCTCCTGGGCGGAGCAAAGAAGACTTAAGAGATTACCTCAAGAGGAAGTAACAGAATGCCGAAGCCAAGGTAACCTCCGCAGATAAGCCGAGGACACCATTCTCGGTGGAATTAGACAGATTTGAGGCACCGAAGCAATTCAGCATGCCGAGGTTTCAAATATACGATGGTAAGTCAGACCCCAACTTCCACGTTGGATTATATTTGAACTCAATGGCATTGTATAGTGGGAACGAGCCGTTGCTCTGCAAAGTGTTCCCCTCATCCTTCAGGGAGATTGCATCAGATTGGTTCCACAAATTACCGAAAGGAAGTGTGAAGACTTGGGAAGCCCTGGCCGAGATGTTTGTGGCCAAGTTCGTGATAAACAAGCTACAGCCATTAAGGGTGGACGCATTGATGGCTCTGAAGATCAGCAAGGTTGAAGGCCTTAGGGCCTATGCAAAAAGATACTATGAGGAGTTCAATCGAATACCCGAATGTAATCAAGAGGTGGCAATCGTATCTTTCAAGAACGGCTTGAAAGACAACTGTCAACTATGAAAGTCTTTGCCAAAGACATTGCCAAAAAGTATGGAAAAGCTCATGGCAAGAATCGAGAAGTATGCCAGAGCTGAAGAAGACACGTCGGGGGCTAAGGATATAAAACAAGAGAAGGAAACGGCTTGCCGAAGTGAGATCGAGGTAACAATGGATCGAGCAAACAAGAAGCAGAACTGAGGGCCACACAGGCAGTAACGATTGTGTTCCGAATCCCAATTTACAAAGTCCTGGATCAAATTCGGAACCAGCCCTATTTCAGAACGCTAGAGAGGACTCCAGGAGAGTTCATGGGAAGAAATATTGGCAGGCATTGTGCCTACCACAATGAAGATGGGCATACAACTCAGGGTTGTAGAGCCCTGAAAACACATTTGGAAGGCCTGGTGAGACAAGGACATCTGAGAGACCTTGTCGATGAGACTAGGACAAGGGAAGAATGGGCAAGGTTACCTCAGGCACCAATAGCCCCACCTCCCCCAGCACAGCAGCTGCAAGCAGGAGGACCTCGGGTAATCAACGTAATCCACTCGAAGGTCAACGAAAATGAAATCCGATGAGAGACCCAGAAAGTAAAACACCTACAACATGTCTACCAGGTCGGGGAGAAAAGACATCGGGCAGAAGAGTACCAGGGACCAATGATAACCTTTACCGAAGCCGACCTAGAGATGGTCCAGCATCCGCATAATGATGCCTTGGTAGTATCCCTCCAGGTTGGGGAGTGCCAAATGAAATGCATCTTGATTGACCAAGGCAGCTTTTGTGACATCATGTACGTCCGATGTTACAAGGAGCTCGGCCTTCACCCAGATGATATGGAACAATCCAATGGCCCAATGGTTGGGTTCAATGGAACGCCGACATGGCCACTG